CATGTAGGACTCCCTCAGCTCAGGTGTTGAACCCCCAGGGCTCCCATTTCTGCCTGTGTGGTATGGTGGCCACTGGACACTGTCCCCAAGCAGATGTGTGCCACTGCACATATGCCATGGGCTCTGTGGATGTCACATGAGCTGGGAGGCAAAGTCTGGGAGCCTTTGCTTTGTGTCATCTCAAGCCACCTCTCCCCATTGCGGGGAGCAATGGGCAGCAGGGACAGCTCTGTCTGGGGAACGGCTGCTCATGCAGGGTGGTGCCTGTGCTTTCTTGAGCCCATTCCCTCCCAGGGCACCTGGAACAATGACAGGAGCAGGCTGGGCAATGGGCAGTATGAGGCGGCTGGTCCACACCAGCAGAGCACCTGCCTGTGTTCTCATTCTGCACCAATGGGGGGGCCATGAGGGTGAGGACAGTTTTGGGTCTTGATTCAGTAGCACACTTCTCTGCACATAGTGGGCATTCCGCACTCACATGTTGTGTGGAGTTGAAGGCCCTGTTTTCCAGTCCGTTCTCTCCACCATGATGTAGTAAGATGAATATGGGTTTTGTGGGTCTGAGTAAGTTGCAGTAGTTCTCTGCATTTCATTTTCCTCAGCTACAAAACTCGTTGCTTTGTTGTGAAGGACGAATGTGGCAACGTGAGTGGGGCATGGCTGGGCTGTCCCTGGAGGCGCCACCTTCACCCTCCATGTCCTGGTATGGCACCTGGACCAGCTCCTTCCTTCCTGGGCCTTGGCCTGTCCAACTATGGATGGGAACAGCTCTCATGATGTGCCTGGGCCAGGCTTCCATCTGTTTGTTTGCTCTGATATTGTTACTTGCTGCACTGCCTGCTAGATGTGTCCCCTTTTCACTCTTCCTTGTTTCTTAGGAAGAGGGTTTTCTAGTGAACACTTTGCAGCTGGCAGGCCCATGTCCTTCTGTCCTGTGTTGTGAAGGCACTCTGGTTCTTCACTGCATGGTGAGCTGCCCACCCTCCCGCTGAAGTCAGACGTGGTCATGCCCTGTGCTCTGGCTATTGGGATGTGAGCAGAGCGACTCTTCCTCCTTCTTGCCTCAGTGGGGGCGTGTGTGCGAGGCAGCCTGGGTCTCTGAGGTGAGTAGAAGCCTGCTGGCCACATGTACTGCAGCTTTGCTGGGTGCGAAGAGGCGCCGGCTAGAAGGGATGGTGTGATCTACCCTCATAGACCACTGAGTCTGGTTCTTTCACAGCTAGAGAGAATCTTGTGATTCTCGCTGAGCTGGGATCTTGCCTTGAGGAAGTCCTGGCTGCTGCCAGTTCTTGTGTATTGACGTTGCCATCAGAGGGACTTTCCAGCATCTGTCACTGTTCCAGGGTCTCCTCCAAGCCCATACTCCCTGCTCTGCAAACATCCATGTGAACCATCACCTTTCATTGAACAGGGCAGTTTGCCTAAAAAATGCTGAAAGGAATGGAGGGGGTGCGTTTGCTGGGTAATGTGGGAGTGATGCCTTGGGTCCTGAGGCTCACCCAGTGCGCCTGGGCCAGGGCAGGTGGGAGGACGGGAGTGCCCCCCTGAGTGATTTCAGAGCTTTGCAGGGTGACGGTGCTGTCCTCATGAGCTCAGCCGGGCCTGACGAGGAGGGTCTCTGTTCGTTCTTCCCACACTTCCCTCATGCCAGGTGCTGCCCTCTTGGCTTTTCCTCCTGCCCAGAGTCTCCTGTGTACAGAAGAGGAGGGGGTCGTGCCTGAGAGGTGGGGCTGGTTGGAATGATTGAGCCCCTCCTCACTGCCACCTCCCTGGGGTGGGTCCCATTGCTGCTTTTGAGCTCTGAGCATCACGGACACTTCATATGGAAATCAACAAACCCACTTTCTTTTCAAGCACATGTGTTGTGTTTCCACCTTAGTCTCACAGTTTGGCACGTGGCTGTATATTGTCAAACAAAAGTCCCCAGCATGGGTGCATTTGTGCGTCTTTGAGGGCAGAACAGTGAAGACCTTGCCCCAGCTGGACCATGTTGGTGTTTCGATTCCGGAGTGACCCTGGGGTGCTGTCTGTCCTCTGAGGCAGGGGGATAGGCCGGGGAGGGCGCAGGAACAGCTGAGACCACCTGTGGCACCTGGCTTCTTTTAGAGTTGGGAAAAAGGAAACAGACATGCCCAATGTGGGATTTTCATCCTGTACGGGGAAAACCGTCCATTTGATCATGTGTTGCCAGAGAGTAGTCATTTTGGAAGAATGTCCCAAGGAAGTTTTGGGAAGCTTCAAACAGAACGTGTCCTTCTAATCTCCATTTCAACGTTTAGGATATATGGTTTTTGGTAACATCCTAATTCTCCAAATGGCTCCTGGAAATGTGGCTGGCTGTTGTGGTTCTGCAAAGCTGAAAGAGTTAACTCACATGTTCCCTGTTTTACTGCTGTAGCTAAGCTTTATAGTTTCTGAGAAGAAGTGTTTGCAATATGCAATAGGAATTCGTACCTTAGGAACTTGGCACTGAAATTTCAGGGGTACAATTATCCTTATTTTTCCTTTTTGGCGAGAAATCTAAGCTGTCTTCCCAGGCAACACAGGATCACTTGGTGATGGGGCTAACCTGGGCACAGCCACATGTTCATAGCCCACAGCTGTGGGATCTTGTTTAAGTCCTGCAATCAGAGTTAACATGTTTTATATGCTTGAGGACTGCACCAGATGACTTCTTGAGGTGCCTTTCAGCTTTAAGATCTATGATTCTGGGTCAGCCCCATGGCCTAGCGGTTAAGTGTGCATGCTCCGCTACTGGCGGCCCAGGTTCGGATCCCGGGCGTGCACCGATACACGGCTTCTCCAGCCACGCTGAGGCCATGTCCCACATACAGCAACTAGAAGGATGTGCAACTATCACGTACAGCTATGTACTGGGGCTTTGGGGGAAAAAAAAGGAGGAGGATTGGCAATAGATGTTAGCTCAGAGCCGGTCTTCCTCAGCAAAAAGAGGAGGATTAGCATGGATGTTAACTCAGGGCTGATCTTCCTCAGAAAAAAAAAAAAAAAGATCTATGATTCTGTGTAATATAAGCCAGGACAGAAAATTAACTCAGTGCTATATGGACAATTCCTAAAAAGAAAATATATGCGTTTGTAAATATACCTACTCCTTGGGTTACACAGTGCATGAGGGACCCTGCAGTGGGAACACGTCAGATAAAATACAGGGCAGCTGCGTTTACCTGGCCCCCAGGTTGGTCATGAGCTCTGTGAGGGGCATTGCTGGTTTGAGTTTCCAAGCTGTTCCCTGACCACAGTTGCCTGGCACCTTGACTGTTATGTGAGTAGGAAGAAGCCTGAATCCCATTTTGGGGGCGCTGGCCTCCTCCAGGGCTCATGTTACATGCGAGGGGATGAGTTGGTACTCAGCTGGGGAGTCCTGACTGGTGGGCAGAGGGGCTCCCTGCCATGTCCAGGGACCCCAGGGACCTAACTTAGTACCTATTTTAGTCTGTTCAGGCTGCTAGAACAGAACTTTGTTTCCCACAGTTCTGGAGGCTGGGAGTCCCAGATGCCAGCCTGGTCGGGTGAGGGCCCTCTTCCAGGCCGCAGACTCCTCGTTGTATCCTCACACAGTGGAAGGGGTGAGGGATCTCTCTGGAGGCTCTTTTATAAGGGCACTAATCCCCTTCCTGAGGGCTCCACCCTCATGACCTAACAAGCTCCCAAAGGCCCCACCTCCTAATACCATCATCTTAGGTGTTAGGATTTCAACATATGAATTTTGGGAGGACACAAACATTCAGACCATAGCAGCAACCGTGACCATAGTACAGTTTTAGAATGTTCCATCACCCCATGAGGGTCCCTGGGGCCCAGTTGCAATCAATCCCTATTGCTACCCTCAGCCTTAGGCAACCATGATCTTCTTTCTGTCTGTAAATTTACCTTTCTGGACAGTTGATATAAATGGAATGATACAGTATATGGTCTTTTGTGTCTGACTTCTTTCACTTAGCACAATGTGTGTTGGGTCCATCTAGTACCTAGCATGTACCAGTGGTCCCATGTTGTAGCATGTACTACATTTTGTTTATCCATTATCCACCGTAGAGGGACATTTGGAATGTTTCTGGTCTTTGCCTATTTTGAATAATATTGCTGTGAACATTCATGCTTTACGTGGACTGTTAAAAGATAAACTGGAGCATGTTAACTTTTAAGAGTTTGAGCCAAAATGAATTTGAATTGGACAGCACCAAACAAGAAGTGGTTAGGAGTGCTCCACCCACAGGAGCTGGGGCAAGACTTCTGCAGCGAAGATGCAGAAGCAAAGCAAGGAAATTATTCAACTGACTACAGCTTAAGCATTTGCCTTATTTAGGAAAAGCATTTGGCTGTTTGTGATTGGTGGTCCTTAGGTTTTGATTTCTTAACCTTGAGGCATTGACAGGCTTAGTTTCAGTTTGCTTACATAGGCTGCTAAGGCATTAGAGCCTCCTCAGTCTAATGGCCTCATTTAATTAATTTGACAGAACATATGTTTGCATTTCTCTTGGGTGGCTTCCTAGGTGTGGAATTGCTGGGTCATATGGTAAATTTATGTTTAACTTTTAAAGAACTGCCAAACTGGTTTCCACAGTGATTGCACCATTTTACATTCCCACCAGCAATGTTGGGGAGTTCTAATTTCTCCACATCCTTGCCTTTTATGTTGTGGAACTAATGGTCCAGTTGGCTAGGGATTGTATGGTAAATAATTAATGACAGTTTACTGCAGGCCTCTTTATAGAACATACTTTATCCAGCCTTCTACTTCAGGTCATCTAATTATTTAGAAACTGAAAGCAGCTTTCTTTAGAAGGGAGACTGGTGGTGGTTGTGTGTGTCTCTGGAGTGTCCAGTCTCTGAAAGAGCAAGACTTGTGATTTATTTATTGTCTTAATAGATGTGGTATAGAATGGCTGATATTGACAAATATTTATATCAACATAGGCTTTTGTGTGTTGTAAACCCCTGTGGACTGGAATGTAATAATTTCCTACATTTCTTTTTAGATTGTTCACAGAACACTGGCAGCCATGTTGGGTTCCCTCGTGGCATTAGCAGTGCTGGCTGTGATTGGCGACGTAAGTTGTAACATTTTGGATCATTGGCTACCACTTGATACAATGTCAGACTCAAAGGCAGTCCAAGGATTAGGTGCTAGCTGGTGATTTTCACTCTTTTATATACTATTACATTTTCTCCCAGGAACCATGCTAGAGGCATGAACTAGCAAACTTTATGGTATTGATAAGTATTTTTCATTTGACTTTACCATACACACACACACACACACATACACACACACACACGTATACATCCCAGTGATGTTATTCTCCATTGTAGCTGAGGAAAGGCTCATCATGGTCACACATTTGCCCACACCCATGTAGCTGAGCCATGTTAGAGCTGCTTCTGGATACTGTCAGCCCTTGGGAACTAGAGGAGGCCATCCTGGATGGAGCAGAGACGTGAGAGATGATGAGCTTGGGGTTCTGTCCTGCAGACATGGAGGACATGAGACAGGACATGTCCTGGAGATGCATGTTTGGGGGGTGATGGCATCCCATCAGAGCCTGAGTGTGGCCCATCTGGCAGGAACATGGGAATGAACATAGGGAAGCAAAGGAGGCCGAGTCCCCACTGGAGATAGAGGCCTGGAGTTATTTGAGGGGCAATGCTAGAACTGAGCAAGATGGCAACACACAGAACTGGATTTGAAAACAGCTCTATAGAATTCTATTGGGTTGTTCTGAAAACTGCTAGTAGAGGCCAGTCAACCAAAGAATAATAGCTGGCTTAAAAAACTATGTGGGGGCTGTGTTCAGTTAGTTAGTTATTGTTTTTTTCTTTTTCTTGGCTAGAATTGGTATAAACAAATGCTAACCCTAAAGGGAAAATGTTCCAGAATCCTAAAAGTTATACATAAACCACTGTTATCTTTATTAATTAATAAGGAATAGTATAATAGTAGTTATTTCATTTTAAAAATCATTAACGTGGCACATGGAAGGCGCCTGCTGTGGGAAGCTCCCCAGGCTACCGTGCAGTCCTTTCCCAACAACCAGACTCTCACAGTGCCCTCACGTTACACTCCGTGCTCCCAATTCCCCGTGACCCCGGCCTTGCCTACTCTTCAGGGTTATTAGAAGATGAAGTGAGACTGGGTGGACAGATGGCGAGTAGGACAAATGTATCCTTCAATTATCATCATCCTGGCCTCATACCCTGACACTGACAAAGGCATATGTGGACTCCACTCACCTCAAGGGCCAATCCTGCAATTCAGGTGATAGTTTTTCACAGAGTTGCCAGGACAGGGTTTATGAAATTTGTTTTTCTTGTTACTAAATGCATAGGCTTGGTGTTACGATGCCTTGGGTCATGAGTATTTTTCAGCAATGATATAATCTGATTTCAAAGGCAAGTAAATGGTGTGATTTTTGACTTGGGCCCAATAAGTGGGTTTGCTGTAAAGGGCAGCACATTTTTACAGCTTATCACCAGGGGAACGATGCCCAGGACTAATTGGCAAACCTGTGCTTTGATTGCAGAGACCCAGCCTGACCCATGTGGTGGAGTGGATTGATTTTGAGACCCTGGCCTTGCTGTTTGGCATGGTAATTACAGTCCTCCCAGCGGGACAGGGCTCCAAGCCTGCTGTAACCCAGGACCTTCTCTTTTGCTGCTGTTGCTGATAATCCTTCATTATATTAAAGATACCATGCAACTTGACAGTTAGGGCTTGATTGAAAAGTGTTAGTGCAGGTCTAGCTAATGTCTCCTGTGTATGAATAGTGGTCTGGAGAATTTGTCTAAGGCCTGTCTGATAGTGAAATAATATTGCCATTTAGAAAATTGAGCAAATTTCTTGAGTTACTGCCCTTAAAATATAAAATGGAATATCCCAAATAAATGAACGATGTAAGTTTCAGTGATTGGAAAACCTTTAATTATAAGGATAAAGGAAGAAACTGTCCCTAAGTAATAGCGTGTTTGCTGATTTTTTTTTTTTAATTTTTTGTTTATTGCAGTAACATTGGTTTATAACATTGTAAAAATTTCAGGTCTACATCATTGTACTTCTATTTCTGCATAGATTACATCATGTTCACCACCAAAATACTAATTACAACCCATCACCGCACACATGTGCCGAATTATC